TTTTTTTTGTATTGTGTGCAAATTTTTATAGCATCACAACAGATGATCTCTGGAATTTTCAATTTACATTAAAAAAAAAAATTGTATGATACTCGTATTAAAAGAAAGAAAATTTCATACAAAGAGTAAAGATAGAGAGAGAATACAATCATATGGAAAAAAAGGTTTTAGGGTCAGAAGTGCTCGAGTGAGTCCCACGGGCGTCTAACCACTTTGCCGGAAAGATCGTAGTGAGCGATGAGGAATCAAATTCTGCTTTCACCAAACACTAAAGGCAGAGAGCAAAAGAGAGACCTGGCAGCATATATGCCATTAAAAGTTACCATAGGTGCGCTTGGTTCAGCGTCCATTTTCAACAAGAGGGCGTCTAGCAAATTAACCTCGACTACCCGCCGTTGTTCCTAGCGGTTTACTGCGATCCAGGAGTGCAACAATTAGGTGACTTTTAGCAATCTTACTGGCTGCCGCCGCTGCTCTAAACGTTCTATGTAATTCACTTTCCCGCCTGACGTCTGACTTCATTGTCTCGTCTCGCCCTTGGGCTTTGCCTTTTTAGCAAGCGCCCTTGGCTTGCTTTCTGTGGACTTCTGCCTCTGGGCCTCTTTCCAGTTCACGTATCTCCCATCTGACGATGGAAATTGTTGCCTCGTGGCATAGTAAGCCCTACCACTCTCAAGCGTCTAAGCCAACTTTTCCTGTTCTTTGCTGAGACTGGCATTGTTGCCTTATCGGTCGCAGTTCTTGTCTTGACCCTATGCCTTTTTTATATTGCGGAGTTAGAACCCTGAAAATCACCTGGGCAGCGGTGTTGAGGCTAGCAACGCTTGCGCAGTCCGAGTCTTCATGGACTGTGGAGCTTGCGCGTTCGGGTGGCAGTAGCAACACAACCGTTGTGAACTGCTCGGAAATGCTCCTAAGCGAGGTACATAACTATCTTCTGAGGAAATATTTTCATAACCGTAACAAATCATCAATGAGCTAACCGATACTACTGTGAAATCTAAAGGTCGTTATGGCAGAAGCTTAACAAGAAACGGACTAAGGAACTTTTGAAGATAAGCAAATCCACAGTAAAAGTTCTTACCGGAGTCATCGCTGGACACTCAACTATTTTACAAATATACCAACGGTGGCGCAGCGGAAGTTTTCGATATGAAGAACAGGACAAATCGATTCACAACTTCCTATTTCAATGTCCAGGTCTCCACCGAAGGGCAGGTTTTAAATTTTTTTCCTGTCCTTTAGATTTAAATTTTGTTCTAAAAAATATAATGCGTTTGAAGGGCAGATAAATTTTAAAGCCTGCTTGAGAAACGGCACTAACTAAATACATTTGCATGCACATATGAATACCCAAAAACTTTCATAAGAAATTAAACCGCTCGCATTCGGTCAGAAAATAGCAAAATTAAAACACAAAGGCATATAATTAAAAAGTTTGCAAAATAAATTTCAGAAAAAGTAAAAAATCGTCAACGACATAAGATAATTTTACTACACTTAATTACTGTTATTCAGCGCCTTTGGCCATATTTCTGATTTTGCGAATCTTCGCACCGCCGCAAACTTTCTCATAGTAAAATTTTTGATATTTTTTCGCTATTTTTGTGTGTAGAAAAATTTGCCACAATTGTGTGTTGCCAACGATGTTGTCATCTTCATGTACAAAGCGGGAATACAGCATAGACCACCACCAACTTAGACCAACGTCTGCATCATCGTCGTCGTCGTCGTCGTCGTCGTCGTCGTCGTCGTCGTCACCTGACTCACAGCTGTTCATTGTTTTCAAGTGGCAGTGGCCCAACAACTTTTACGAAACGACGAATGGCACAATTGGGCAAGCGGCAAGAAGCGATGGCAAGCAACAGACACGGCTAGGAGTTAGCAACAGCCAGCATATTTTTATTGTTGCCGCAACACCATGGCGAGACTTTACCGCATGGATAGGAAACATTAAAATCATCATGTTGGCGATGCAGCCATTTACAAACACATCATCATCAACTCAGGCTCAGCTCCTCTGCCACAGCTGCTGGCTGACTCGTCCATGCCGGCTGCTGTTGCAACGATTATTTGTTTTTGCTGCAGTTAGTTAGTTTCATTGCTGCTGTGGCTGCAGGTGATTTCTGTCATCTCAGTGGCGTCTTTTTTTCGATGTCGTCAAACGTTGTCCATAGCGTCTCGCCGGCGTCGCAAAGCAACTTTTCATCGTATCATCTCGCTTGTTTCCTGTATTCTTATGTAATGTTTATTTGCCATTTCGAGCCGTTGGAACTTTAAGTTGATAATTGAATTGAAAAGTAGTACAATCACACATTACCCTCCAGTGCAGTCGGCTTTGTTTTTTTGCACCAAGCAGATTTATTTTTTATTTTTTTACTTACGAACCAATCGCAGTTGTTGGATATTTGATTAGGTCGCTGGGTTGCATGCTTATTTGTTGTAGTTGCATGCAGTGTTGCACGATCAATGGGTTTCCTGGAAATGCATGTAATAATGAGGAGCCCATCGTTCAGGCGAAGATGAATTACAACATAAATTTTGACCTTAGCATGGAAATGTTTCCTGGATTAAGTATTTCCTATTTACTCTTCAGAAATCTCATATAGGTATGTACTTGTAAATATTATATAGGTACAAGGTTTAACGACCATTGCAGGGTGTAGAAGGAACGATGGCACATATACTGATTTTTCTGCATCATTCGCTGAATTGATCCGAGGCCCATCTTTACAAGAGAAGTTCACAGATAGTCAAGAGAACTCTCAAAGGAAGTCCCTCGTTTCAGGGATGACATCGAAACCGCCGAGAATGTTAGAGTGCCCAGACCCCGGGTCAGTCACGCAACTTGTGCTCTTAAGTCTGACTGCCGCCCATGCTCCAGCATCTCTTCCTGCGATATCGATAGGCGCTACATTAAGATCCTTGGGAATGGCGCTAATTGCCCCACTGATTCAAATGAGGACAGCTTATTTCCTTCTGAAGTGCATTCCACCACACGAGGACTCCATTAAATATAATGGCCGTAACTATGCTTTCATAGAACCCGCAAATAACCTTGTAAGAATGGCCCAATTTCTTAGTTATTGCGCCTCTGAAACTGCTTATCAAGAATCAAGCCTGAGTACTTGACCCTGTCAGAAAGCGTCACGCGAATGCTCCCGAACGAGTAAGGAGTGGCGTGGGCACCATGTACCTCCCAGTAGGCAAAACTAGTTCCGTTTTACTAGTAGTTATATCAATTCACAGTTCGCAGACCATCTAATCACCAGGTTCAAGTATCCTTAAGTTAGGTCGTAGAGGGTATCCAAAAATTCGCCCTCACCTTGATCCATCTAACTTTAGTAAGAGCCTTATCCAGATACATGTTCCTGTTAAGAGTAATTCTCAGACAGTTGACACCGTCAGATTATTCGTAAATGGCACAGAAAAACGTAACCGACTTCTGGTTAAGGCTCTCATCGGCACTTCAGTTTAACGACAACCGCAGAGTTGTACTCACAGCCGAGTTATCCCGTACATTTCGTATTCCTGCAGACTAGTTTAGTGCTTGTCCATCAAAGGAAAAATACACTATCCTGTAGACCCATTTTATAGTACGAATATTCATGAAATTGTGGCCTAAGGACGAAGAAAAATGGCATAGTTATGACACAACTAAGAGTTGATGTATTTATGTATGATTCTTTGAATCACTGCACAACTTCCTTAAGGTCGATGGCATTTTCGATCTCATAATCCAGACTCTGTTGTTGTTTCAGAAAAACGGAATTTTCAACCATTGGCCCTGCCGGGTGGCAGTGCGCACCTCTAGCCACTTGGTTCCGGCGTTCCTAAACATATGCTCATTAGGGTGCCTCACCAAAAAAAGTCGTGGGTTTTCGACCGGAATTATGAAACTTATTATATTTAAAAACTTCCGCCAAAATATTTCGATTTAAGATTTATTTGAGCTGGACCGATGTGAAAAGATCTCCAAACATTGAGTTTTTTTATAAATAAATCTAGTTCTTAAAAATATTTTTTTCCAAAAAATTACCTCAGATGATAGAAGAGTTTAAGCTTCAAAGGTCTGCATTATAATGCTTGAACATTTTACCAACGGAATTAAAACGAACGAGTGTAAAAAAATAAAAAAATATAATTCCATTTTTTTTTATGGAGAGTGATTCGCCCTATTGAATATATTATACGCTTTTTCCGAAAATGATGCTTCAAAACAGTTGCCGACACCTGGTAAACACCGATATTGTGTGGCAAAAGTTTTAAAAAATATTTGCCTGCACATTTCCCAAACAAAAAACATATTTTCTACTTTGTTTAAAACAAAACGGTAATGCATTCACACGCACCGCCAAACAATAAGCCAACAGAGTGCAAACATTACAATCCGCCATCAGCCGTAAATGATGAACATCAAAAACGAATAAAATGTTGCATTCTCCACTTATATGTATAGCGCCAAAAGTGACCAGATGAAAAAAAAAATTTAACACCTAAACTTATAAAAAAAACTTAATGGTTTTGGAGAACTAAATGCATTCAGCTAATTGTGCGCGCCACAAACGTTCATGATGATTCTCAAAACTACGTTCATCATCGGCTTAATAATCGAGTGGTCGAGTGCTGATACAGAATCGACCAAAGAGACAAGCAAAAAAAAAAAAAAAGCCAAAATACGTTTACAGGTCGGAGCATCGACGTTTGGCCAACAGAGGCGCTGCGAAAACTCGTTAATTTGTTTTTATGTTTGTGGGGTCACAAGCTCATCCGCTGCTTCGGTTGGACGTTGGGGCATCGTTGCATGCTCGTTTTGTCGGTCGACTTGGTTGCTGCGCTTGCTGCTTGTTGATCACCACCTCCAACGCATGCGCACAGCGCAGCTGAGTCGGACGGCGACAATATGTACATACAACAAAAGCCGTGGAGTAACGAAGCTCGCTTATCGCAAGCATTGTTGGGCTTTGTGAAGTGAGTATAAAGAGGCCATACTGGGCAATGGCAAGGCATTCAGTCGTTGGTTCCCTACAAGCAAACAACTAAATTTAATTTTTTAATTTAAGTTTTACTTCTCTCCCCCACACAAAACTCACAACTATGAACTCCTTCTCCGTGGTAAGTAACAACAGCAACAAGCAGGTGTGCAGCAAAAGTGAAAAGTGAAAAAATTTATTGGTTTCAAAGTGAGCCAAAGTGCATTAAAAGGATATTTTTCGGAAAATCATTTCAAACTACGCGACTTAACAAGGATTAAACGCGCTTCTTACCCTTCTCTTCTCTTCCTTCTCTCTCTCTCTCTTGCAGTTCTTGGTGTTTGCATTGGCAGCACTGGTCGTTGCGGAACCACCATCAGGATATAATTATCCGCGAGGCGGCGGTGGCGGTGGCTCATTCGGCGGTGGCTTTGGTGGTGGCTCACTAGGAGGTGGTTCATTCGGTGGTGGTGGCGGCGGCGGCGGCTATCAAGCCGTCAGCGGTGGCTTCCAAACATCCGAAGGCCAGAATGTCGATCCTCAGCTATTGGAACAAGTGCGCCAAATTCTGCTGAATGAGGAGAGCAAATCCAGTTCAGGCGGCGGTGGCGGTGGTGGCGGCGGTGGCTATCCATCCGGCTCCTACGGCCCACCGTCCGGCTCATATGGACCACCATCATCGTCATATGGTGCGCCTGGCTTCGGTGGCGGTGGCGGCCGTGTGGTCGGCATCGATTTGGAGGGTGTACGCCAGGCCATCCAAGTGGCGCAATTCGCACAACAGAGCACGCAAGCTGGCGGTGGTGGCGGCTTTGGCGGCTATCCAAGCGCACCATCTGGCTCGTATGGTGCCCCATCGAGACCAAGTGGCAGCTATGGCGCGCCCTTCTAAGGAGGTGCAGGATGTGTGTCGTTTTTAATTACGTTTTAATGTTAGCTAAAAACAAATCGGCGTCGGTCGTCTGTGACCAGGTAGATGAGTAACAAAAAGGAAAAAGATACATTTATAGACCGCGATCCACAGCCAATCAATATGCCAATCAATGAGCAAACAATGAAATAATCAATCAATCAATCAATGAAACAAACAACACGCTGCCAAATAAATGAAATTGAAGTTGAAAAAGAAGAAGAAGAAGATGAAGCAGAAGATGAAGATACATAGAAATGAATGATGAAGATGAGGCGATTCGAAGCATTGGTTACAATGAAAGCAAAAATTGAAAGTGAAAGCGTTTCGAAAATAACGTTAATGAACATGAGCAACTACAACAACAACAATGCCAGACACAACAACAACGCCACTCAATGGATAATTAGACAATCACGGATGAAGAAGCGACATTAGCAACAACAACAATAACGCAACAGTCAGCCAACACAGCCAAAGTACGCAGTGTTGCTCTGCTGTCTGTGGCAACATTGTTGCGCATTTGTTGCTGTGACTAAATGTCTCGAAACATGTGTTGAATAGAGACGTGTAGAAAATAGCGAAAAATTCTACAGGATTTTCTTATTTCGATTTCATGCTGTGGCCCGCACTCACGCAGCACCGCCCACCACAACAGCCATCAAGAACACAGCCAGCCAGCCAGCCAGCCAGCTAGCTAGCTAGCTAGCGCAAACAACAACGTTGGAGCAACAACAGCAGCAGTCAGCAGCTCTGCAGCGACCTGCGCTAAAACACGCATCAACAACTTGTAGGGAAATTCTAATTCCACTGCAACACCGAACACCAATTAGCCATTCAACCAGCACCAAACACACTGCACCGCAATCGTGGAATGGTTTCCGTTGTGTGGATTTTAGGGTGGTGCAGTTGTGGCCGGTGTGTGGTGGTGTGGGCCGTCAGTGATATTTCGTTTTCATTTTTCAAGCGATCTCGCTCTTTCATATAGCCCAGTTACGCCCCCCAACTATCTCCAAAGTATTTTCAAAAGGCTATCCTATATGACCCCCGCTTTTTCAACATGCCCACCAAGAAGAAAACATATCCCATTTCCAACTTTTTGGTGGGTGTGTTTTGTTGAGTTTATTTTATTTTTTTTAATTTTCTTGTAAATAATTTTGAATTTTTTGTTTGTTTGTGTAAACAACAGCAACAACAACAATAACAGCAAAAACAACAAAAAAATGTTATAACGCATCATTAGATTGTAAGTGTTTTTATTTGTATATGAAACAAACAAGGAAACAACAAAAAAAAATATGAAAACAATAAAAAAATAGTAAATTTTGTCACCGTTAAATTGTCGAAGTGTTTTATTTTCACTACAAATCATGGAAGTTTCGCGGTCAAGAAATATGTAATTTCAGGAAAACGGGCTTGGTAAATTGGCCTCTACATAATTTGTGGACCAATTCATACATTGCGCTTATTAAGACACACATGAAGCGTCCTCTACACTTTCAATGTGGTTGTTCACATTTGATAATCAGTATCAGGTTGTCTGGTTCAACATTTTTATTATTTTGTGTATTTTATTGTTGTAAACTGAATTAAAAATATAATCATATAACCAGATAACCAGATAACCAGGCAAGTGTGAAGAACCACAATGATTTTTTTT